TTGGACAGAGCTTGGAGCAAGCTGGGGCAGTGGAAGGTGCCCCCATGGCAGGGGCTTGGAATCAGAAGAGCTTTAAAGGTCCCTTCCAACCCATATAATTCTGTGGTTCTGTGATTTAAAAAAAAAATTTACTCATGCCAGAAGATTGGGAAGATGGAATGATTGAAGTGGGGTTTGTGCTGCCCATACTTTAAAAATATTAAAATTCTAAAAAGCCTTTATAAGTAAAAATGTACAAAGCAGGAATATAATTTTATATAGTGAGAGTGAAAACATTCAGGTGCATTATTTAAGGGGAGGGCAAATCAAACTGCAGTTTGGCTAAAGACCAGTTTGTTTCTGTTAGAGAATTTCTTGCAATTCTTAGTTTGTAGTTGAAAAAGAATTATTAGTGGTTGCTGAAAAGGTGCAAGTATTACAGAAAACACAGTCATACCAATTAAATTATTGCAGCCTGCAATGAAATAGAAAGTCATGTACATTACCCCATGTGTGGTAATGTGTGCTTCTGCACAGATGTGTTTTTCACTGTCCCATTTGCCCTTGGCTCATTACAACTCTTATATCTTGGGAGACCTTAAAGAAAAATCTTCTTCCCCATAAAAGTGTAAATTAAAATCCATTTAATTTACCTGCTGCGAAGGAGCTCTGGTAAAAGAGGTTCTGGTTTTCTCTCAAACTTGCAGTGAAGATGCTCCTTTTCTCCCAAAGTTATGCTGAACCAGACCCCAGTGTGATTAACACTCACTCCTCCGGCCTGCTAGCTCAGATTACTTTCAGCAGTATTTGCAGGGATGGGTAATCCCCATATCCTCATGGAACACACAGGTGTATTGATAGGCTTAGGAGACAGAAAATGCTCCATTTTGCTGGAGTTGTTATTTGGGGACAGATCATGTGCCTGGTCAGAGGCTGGGGCTGGTTTTCAGCAGGGTAATCATGCAAACACCTGATTTACAAACACTTAAATGATTTTAGGATGGAAATACTGAAAGCAGACGTGCTGTAGGTGTGCTGCAGAGTGAGTTTAGCTCAGTGACACGTGCAATGCATTGGTGGCTTCTCCAGCCCTCAGCTCAGTCATGCCAAAACAGTGCTTATAAAATCATCCTGCCTTGCAAAACCATATTTTATATAGGTGCTACTTAAAATATTTCTAGAATTGCGGACATAAATTTACATGAATTTTCATACTTTGGTGTCAAATATTTATTATAGCAGTTACATTTTTCAAAGAGGTAGTGAGCTAACTAATTTCCTTTCCCTCCTTTGGGGACTCTAAAAAGAATTTCAAAGGCATACTTGTTCTTGAGAACAAGTTGAAATTGTTCTAAAATTGAAAAGCCTAAACTTAGCATGTGATGTAAAAGCAAAAGTAGTAGAAGGCCTTGTCTAAATTAAGGACTTTCAAAATGTATTTTCTGGTGTTGATTAAATTACAAATCTTTGGCTTCTGAACACATCTCCTGTGATCAGTGGGCTGTTTATTGTCAATCTGTGTTCTTCAGGAATGCTAACAGCAGCAGGATTTCACCTTGGCTCTGTATTAGGCTGTCTCTTGTTTTAACAAGTTGTCCTAAAGCACCTCCCCTTGTGAGTGCAATTCCATCTGCCTGTGTTAGTGAGCTGAGTTGCCACTTGGCAACAAACCACGCTGCCAGGTTTGTTTGGCACCTCTCTGTTTGTGTGTATGAGTGAACAACAAGAGACTGTCACAATTCTTGCATTAATCTTTTTTAGCTCTTTGTTAAGAATTTAGTTTTCTTCTTAACATAGTTTTCTCTGCAAGTGTAAGGACATTTAAATTTTAGTTAAAAGCTAAATTTAGAAGAAATAATGTAATTAAAAGCTAAATTTTAAGTAAACAGTGTAATTCTGATGACAGTTTAGTAAATCATCTGTTGGCTGTTGACTTGAACGTTATTCTAATACACTGTGTGGAAACAAAAAATGAAGAATTCAGCTAAGGAGAGATCATAATTTTCAAATACAAGTGTTACTTGATAACAGCAGTGGTAAGAAAGGCTCTCTCAGGTCAGACAGACATTCCTGCTTGGTTTTGTGTCCAGGCCATGGCTGGAGACAGGAACAGATGCGCAGGGAAGGCAATGAGAGATTTTCATCTTTGGGAGGACAAGATGAGGAAACATCCAAGGCACAATGAATGCCCTGTGATTATGGTAATAGGGCACACACGATTATTTAATGAATGTTTCTTTTCAGCCTCTCCCCTAATGCCCATTGTGAACTCCGTGTTGCTTGTCTGGCTGAAATGTATAGCACCTACCAGTGCCTGTCCCTGGACACTGGAGTGCTGCATTGGAGCAGGCACTTGAATGTGATCTGATGAAGTGCTCAGCATCAAGATCTCAACATGACAGAATTTTTGAAAGAGGTGGTTTTGTTATATCATTCATAAAGGCGCTCTCTACCTCAAAGATGAGACGGAATCTGTCTGGTTTGTGAAGAATTAATACAATTTTCATGCAGTTTCTTGTGATGAAGTCCTGTTGTTGCTGAAAAGCAGCATGGATTCTCTCTTTCCGTTTTTGGTATATGTTAATATTTTTTTTCCTTTAAAAAAACAACTGAATAAAAAATACAAGAATGAGAGAGGGAGGGGTGGAAGAGAAGCCATAGTGCTTGGCAGCAGTTCTGAGGGGAGCAGGAGCTTCAGGGAGTGCTCACCAGGGCAGGGAATGGCTGCTCAGTCACTTTGTGTTCTTTATTTTGTTGGTTGGGAATGTGGAATATCTGCTAATATTCATTAGGGAAGATGGGTGTGGAGGCCTCTGAGGGATGAAAATGCTCTGGTCCTCATCCTTTCTCTCATCTCCTGTTTCTCAACCTCCGCTCCCTGCCAGAAATATCTTAAAATACCAAACCAAAACCATCATGGGAAATACGTAGCTTTAAATGAGGAGGGTTTTAAAATTTTTCTTCAACAAATTTGCCTTTTGTAAAACACCTCCCCTCATGCTACCACCCTTTCTCTTCCCATGGATGAGCTGAGTGGACACCCCTCCTGCTGAAGGACCTTTTGCTCGTTCCACCTATTAAATTAAAATCTTTTTGTCTATAAATGCTGAAAGTGAAGAGATTACTAAGCAAAACAATTTACTTTGGTTGGTGTGGTAAAGATGTGCAGAGTTGAAGAAGCAGGATGTGTCCCCTGCTCCCTCTGGGTCACATTCCCCGCCTGCTGCCTTGTCTTCTGGTAAAAAAGTGACATCTCCAATAATTGAAGCTCCCCACAGCAAACTACATGGAACAACCAGCTGAAAACCCAATAATTAAGACAGCAAAATGCTTGAAGGCAAAGGCCTCTGCTGTTGACATGATTTCTTTTTAATCAGGTCTTATTTATGAAGGAACACGAAACATTTTTTTCTCTTAAATCAGGCAAAGGCTCTACAGTTATTTTAGGAAGCAACAGCTTTTTCTCTTAGGCAGAGGATGGACGCCGCGAGCATCCGAGAGAAACCAGTTTTGTACAGAAACCTTGGGCAAAAACCTGGCGTAAAGAACTCTGTGTGAGCATCCCAGGTCCAGCCTGGAAAATGTGAGGGGTAACCCCTGCAGGGACTTCAGGCATCTCTTAATGAGCTCTTTAGTGTTATTAAATAATGTAGATACGTTAAACCATGCAGTGTTGCATCTGTTCTTCTCGCTCCGTTTGCGGAAGGATGCTCCCAACCACAGCATGGACGTCATGTTCCCCTTTTAAACTTACAACATGCTGATCTGCAGTTTGAGAAAATGCCCTTTTTTTTAAAATTTATTTTAACTTAGCTTCAAATTTTCCCCGCGGAAGCTGGGCAACCAGCTGATATCATTCCAGAATTGAATGCTACAGCTTTAAGATAAGGTGCCGGGCGCTCTCGGCGCTCACACAGCGGCTCCTCCCGTCCGCTCTTTTTTTCCTTTCTCATGCTGAAAATACCCCACCATGTTCACGATAAGAGATTTCTCTTTTTTTTTTTTTTTTTTTTGTTATTTTTCTTTCTTCCCCCCCTTCCTCCTTCTCCGAAATCCACCAAAACTGAAGAAAAATCCAAGTGACTGTTCTTAGCAGCTGTGTGGCCCGGAGTTCAGTGGGGAAGCGGCTTCCTGCCGTCCCTATTCATCACCTGCTTCAAAGGCGGCCTGGCCGCTCCAGTGTGCAGGCCAGGTAGGGTGCCTTTGTGCGCAGGCGGGAGGATTAATATCAAAGCTGCAGCAACCAGGCCCTTGGTCTCAGGCTGCCATTCAGGCAAGCAGGGAGAGGCTAAGAGTGGCCAAGGTCACAGCATCCAGTGTGGTGCGGACTGGGAACGGCTCCTGAGAATAGAGGGCTTCTTATGAAATCATGGTGCAAGCTTGCGGCACAGCAGGTGCCCTTCTGGAACACATACATCTGTTTATGTTGGGATAGCGTAGCTGACAACGGGATAATAGAGCTTTGTGTTTTTTTATAATTTTCTTGCTCTTTTTTTTTTTATTTAAGGGGAAAAAAAAAGACAACTCTATGCGCCAGCGTTGAGGAATATCGCAGGAAGAGCGTTCGCTTTGGAAATCATAAAGAATTCTTGCAAAGCTTTAATTGCTGGGGTGGGGGGTTGTGTGTGTGTATACTTAAGTGAAGGGGCGAGCAGGCTGCCTATTAACCATTTAGGATCCTCAGTCCTGCTGAGGAGCAGCAGCGGGATACGGGGGCACCCGCCACACAATGCGACAATGCCTCCCCTTTTTTTTTTTGATATTATTTTTTCGTACGCTTCCGACATTTGTACCAACAAATTGGGTAAGGATGCGCTGGATTTGCTCGGTTGTCTCCATTGTTGGGATTGTCTGGAGGAATTCTGTCACGCTAACGGTGGCTTTTTAAGAGGTGAGGTAATAGTGACGTAAAAATAAAATTGCCAACTTGATGAAATTAAGGGGGAAATTAAGCTGTAGACGAGTTGTCATGACGACAAGGATGTTCTATTGATGAACTGTACTCCTCCCTGTCCAATCAGATAGTGGAGCTGAAGCTGGAGCATGAACAGGAGAAGACGCACCTATTCCAGCAGCACAACACAGCGCAGGACTGCCTGGTCCGAGACCATCAACGGGAGATGGAGAAACTGGAGATGCAGCTTCGCGCTGCCATGGCAGAGCACGAGAGCCAAACTCAGGACAGCAGGAAGCGAGACGGCCAGGTAACGATCAATAACGCTTGAAAGGCGCCCGCTTATTAGAAATTGCTGATAATGAGTGTTTCCTGTTTGCCAGCATTGTTGGTGGTGCTCGCTGGGGGAGCGTTTGCGAAACTGGCACATAAACGTGATTTCGATTTTCTTTTTTTTTCTTTTTTTCTTTTTCCGCTTTCCCCCCTCCCTTCCTACTGCTGAATAGGGCTTTAACTGCAAAAACCACAGGTAGCCAGATTAAAAATCCCATGGTGCGCTATAACTCGGCCTATTTATAATCTTGTCTCATTTTCTTTCATGATGGATTTGTTTAAGAAAAAAAGGTATCTGTTCTTTTTCCCCCCCAGCCCTCACACTCACCCCTCCTTTTCTTCTTCCTGGGCAAATCCATGTGAATTATATCTGCTTCGTTCGTGTGCTTTTTTTTTGTTTTAAATCTCTGCAGGTAACTCACAAATGGCTTTATTTCCTTTTGTTCATGTCTTTTTTTGTTTCAGTTTTTGTATTCTAGATTTGCATTGTGCGTTTGGTTCCGTGTGTCGGATGTTTGATAAGATGATGTGGGTTTGGGGTCGCTTACCATCACGTTTATTTTCCTACACACACGTACCCCTCCCATCCTCCATCTCTGTGGTCACTGTTGGAAGCCATTTGGCAGAATAACCCCCAGCTGAGGTAGCATTTGACTCTTCAAACTTCTGGATTAAATGCACACTGTCAGCATGGAAAATGATCTTTATGAGTTTTCACTTCAAAAACCATCTTACTGCCTTTTTTTCAATGTATTTTGTAAGGATGGCGTGGTATATTTTCCTAAGAGCCTTTATTAAAAAGGCCTGCAATGGCAATAATCTAAAAACTAAGGTGATTTTCTAATTTAAAGAGTTTACAGAAAATAATCTTTCCTAATCAGCGTTAGAATTGCTTATCACGCATGGATTATTTTATACCCAAACTGGACATTTTGGTAAAGCATCTTTAATGAAACGTTTTCCGCGCACCACCACCTTCCCTAGGAGACGTTAGGCTCAGACTAAGAGGCATTTTCACTCTACTTTCCTGTAGGCTGGTAGGCTGTGGCTTTTACTAGCACCTCTAATGGAGCTAAATGAAACTGAATTGAAAATTTACCTTTGAAATCAATTGATTTTTTACTTTGGATGGCTCAGACTATCGAAATCTGGCTTAAGGAAGTCCATTAGGAAGCAGACGGCTTCTTGGGAGTGGTTGAGAGGTATATTGCAAAGCCAGGACTTATTTCTCTTTTTCCACCATTGTGGTTTTCCAATGAAAACGGGATATACTTTGTGAGAACAGTTGGGCAGGGGATACTCAGGTGGCCTCTGAAAAGAAAATTAAACCTTGCCTTTTATTTTCCGCTGCATTGTAAGAACGAACAAAGCCTTAAATGGTTCAAGGGATTGGTTTTTGTCTTTGTATTTTTTCTTTTTGGCCCAAGATAGATTCATCTCGGCTCTGGATCTGTTTGCGAGTGTCTTTTCAGAGTTGTAGTCTCCTCTCACCTGCATTTCTGCTGTTGTTATTTTTTTTGCGGACAAAGGCAGAGCTGTAACTCCTGTGTTAAAGAAGGCAGTTTTGGAATTACATAGAATTATTTTGTCTCCACACCAGTGCTCATCCCAGTTCCTGTGTTGCTCTGTAACACTGGATACAAAAGGGAAGGGACTCTCTTCAGCAAATTCTGAGAACTGGGAGGTGTCTCTAAGTCCAGCTCTGGTTTGTGCTCTTGGAGGTCATTTCTGGCAAAGGTTGGAGCCCAAAGTTTGGTTGTGCTTTTTTGCTTTCAGGGGAATCAACGATGCTACTACAGGTGCTCTGTGGAAAGCCGGGAATTTTCACAGCTATTGGGGGAATCTGAACAGTCTGAAAAGCAGAGTTTGGCCTTTTTGCAGAGCTTTTCTTTGTAGTTTGAATATCCCTGTACAGTCATTGGAACATTGCTGCCATGAGAATGACATGTAAATCAGGGAAGAAAGGGCAGTTGCTTTGACAAGAAGAGCTGTTGTTTGTTTAAATTCTAGTGAGACTCTCCCAGCTTTCAAGGACGCAGATTTTTCCATTTGGGAAAATAAATTGCTCTTCGTTCCTTCCTTTGGTCTTTGTATTCAAATCCACCTCTGTCTTTGCAGAGAGCTCAACAGACAATACTGCTGTTTCTTATGGAATTATAGCCCAGATTTTAATAATTTTTTTTTTAATCTTCCCATACGTTTACTAAAAATACGTGTTTTGGACATCTGATATGACTAACGGCCAATGTCCATTATGAAACATTTGTCAGGCTCTAAACAAAGGTAACCCAGTCATTTAATGGGTATTTATAAACAGCACTGCATTTTCAAAATCTGTTAAATTGGAACCATCTTTGACAGCAGTAATTTTTAGGAGTGCTTTGTGTCGCAGCGAAGGTGAGATGAAATAGGAGCGGAGGCCATTTTGCTTGGCGAAATGAAAAGTGGATTTGCTGGGTTATTTGAAAAATTTAAATAATAATTAGCGTTAATCACATATGAGTAGCTTGGTTTGAAGGACCTATCTGCTCAGTGTTGGGTGAATGATGTGAAAGCACCGTTATTAAAGGTATTGACTGGAAGTCTTAAATCCTTTTCCATATGAAAGAGTAGCGAATGCGTATTTCTTAATGTACGTGGTTAAAATATGTATTTCTCACTATTTTCCTGAAGACAGCGATGACGGAGTACTGCAGATCAATTAATTTTACTAATACTGTAAATATTAATTTAATTGTTAAATATTTAAAATAATTTTTAATACTGTAAATATTAATCTAATTTTTATTGCATATCCAAGGTCTCTACTTTCACATAGGTCTTCAGATACTGTGAAAGACACTGTACAAAATAGTTGGATTTTATTCAAATATAAATACATTTATTAATGCTTCAATCTCAGCTAGAGTATAGAAATTAAGATTTAAGTGCCTTGTCAGATATTAATCAAATTTAAAACAATGTTCTTTCTTTGTGAAGAGTAAGTCTAATATATTTTTAAGAAAGGAATTTGATTGAAGCGTATCACCTTTTGTGTTGATGATAAATTTCTGGGTGACTATTGCATTCTGCGTGGATTTCTCCATTTCTAGAAGTCTTGCTCTGATTTTTTCACCTGGGGTTGTAATGCTTGGGGAGGAGCAAATTGACTTGTAGGTCAATAAAAGTCAAAGCAGTACAAAGGCTTTTATGCCATGCTGTGTTCTTGGAGGCTTTTAAATCCTGTACGTTTTCCATGAACTGCCATAATGTTGTTATTCTTTAAACAGTAGCTAATCACACAGGATTATGGTTTTTTAAAGGGTAGTTTTGAATTACTACTCTATTTGATTTAGATATCTGGATTTTCTTTAGGAGCATTTTTAAGTTTGCTTATACATTTTGCACCTCCCTAAGTAATTTTAGTTTATCCATCAGAACAGGGAGCTCCTTGCATGATGGAGACCTTCCTTTGTTTTGTTAAAAGCAGTCTTGCTACGGAATCAGTGATTTTCTGAAGCAAAACTTCAGGTTACAGAGAATATATCCAGTTTGCTTGGTGAAATGAAATAGCAAGGTTAGGAAATTTTAATTACTGAAGCAGAGGGGCTGAGTGTCTTTGGTGCCAGCTGTGCCCTCATATTTCCCCTTTGTCCTTTGAATGTCCTTTTCTCCCCAGCATCTGCCATGTGCCCTCAGCCCAGCTCAAAGATTTCCATGTTCCAGCTGCTGTACAGATTTGGATCATTTTCCTGCTCGTTCTTCCACTGTTGACCTTTGGGCAGAAGAAGAAATGAAACGTACCCCTATAACATCAAATACAGCGCTTGGCTCGAAAGGAGAGGAAAGAAAGTTTCCATGAGGAAGCTGAATCCTCTTTCCAGGTTCTGTTCTGAGATAATTGGCCAGGCCACTGTGTTCTTCCAGTCGTAATTGGGTCAAGAGCAGCTGGAGTGCTCGGGCATGTTCTGCCCGCGTGTGTCACTGATGTCACGGTGTTTCATTTTAACAGGCAACGTTTGTGCTCTCAAAAATGAGGCTGCTCAAAGAGATCACTGCTCTTTTGGGGTGTCTTGGGGCTCTCAAGAAACCCTCATTGGATTGGAAAGAATAACCTTGAGTAGTTCTGAAGCTGTGTGGATGCAGACATTGAGAGCGGAGCTTGTTACAAAAATCCCCAACAAACAGGCTGGAGGTGGCAAGAAGAGTTAATAAGGTGCTATCCCATGGCTGAAGAATCCGTTTCCTTTTTCCTCCCTTGCTTTGTGAACTTTCCATAATCCCCTTGGCCTTTACCATCCTGGTTTGCTTTCTCTTCTCAGAAATCAGTGGCTCCTCCGCTGGTGTCCCATGTACAGCACATCCCATCACTTCTTTTCCGGCTTCTCTTTGGAAATTTCTTTCTTTACACTTGGGATCAACAATCTTTCTGCAGCTATTGCTTTGCACCTGGTTTTGTCTGAATTAATTTGAGCCTGTGGAGTTAAAATAAAAAACCAGTAGTAATCACTGTTTTCATTCCAGCAATGATAGTTATTTTCATTCCAGCAGGTTCTTGGTATATGTTTGTGGTTCTCTGTAGATAATTAGTGTATCAACCAAGTGAGGGAAATGGAGGACATTTATCTTGGCTTCATAAATGTATGAAGGGTGGCTGTGCTGCTGTGTGTCTGCTGCAGAGCTCTGTCAACTATTGACAAGAGAAAATACAGAAAAAACCCCAGTAGAGACATTACCTACTTGTTTAGTGATAACTAAATACCCAGCTCATGCTGAGTTTCTGTCTGTGTGCAAATACTGCTGCAACAGTAACTTTGCAGCACTTTACTATATTAATGAGAAGGATTTGGGGAGCATTTTTTCAGAATGGGAGACTCTCTTCAACTTTGATTTGAAAGAACCTATTGTTACCTACAGTTAAATCACTGATCAACTCTTCTGGTTCACATTATTGTTTGAATATTTCCAGACACCAGTTCCCACATGGTAATTCTCCCA